CTTAGCTTTATTTGAGGATTTGGTGGATAAGGGTATCGAACCAGACGAAGTTATATACAGATTGATGATCGATGCACTGCATGAAGATGGGAATTTGGAGGAAGGGTTTAAGAAATGGAACGAGCTTTTGGACAAGGGTGTGCTGAGAGGAAAAGTTAGTGAAATACTCGTAACTGTATGGTGCGGAAACGGAGATATTTCCGAGGTATTGTCGTTGATTGAGAAAACGGGAGTAGAAGGGTACAAGCCGAGTGTTGCCACGTGTGGTACCTTGGCTTATGGTCTGAAAAGAGTAGGATACAAAGAAGTAGATAAGGTTCTTGATGTTATGGTGAGATTCGGGTGGGTCCCGCCATCCATGAGTTTGAATGATTTGATTGGACAATATCAACGAGGGAATCTCGACAGCAAAAACGAGGTTTCTGGGCTGGCAGCGAATGAAATTGCTTGTCAGATTTAATCTTGAAATTGATTGAGGATTTGCTATTCTTTGTTAGTGATCGATCCAAGAACGGTCACTTTTTGTGCACCAAAATCGAGAGAGAATATGCCCATGCTTCGGAAATTTCGGTATAAATATTCGTTTTTTAACTTTTTCGCTATGCCGTTGTATTGCTGGGAATTTATCTAAGATTTCAATACGACTTATTCTCGTTTGTCTACTATAGGTGCCTTGGTGGTGAGGTATTCGATTGGCTGTCACCATAAGCATGCTCGGATTTGGTCGACACGCGTAAATGAGTTAAATCTTTATTGTAAGTAAAAAATATCCTCTAACTTGCTCTTAGTCGAGAAGTTTGAATATTTTTGCTGCTTGTTTCTTGTTCAATCCTGTTTTTTACTCGTATTTTAGAACTTAGCAACGAAACTTCTTGGTCTTGTGCTTCGATTTTTTCGTTCCTTAACTATGTAATTCTTAATTCTTATTTTTTGTAATGTTGCAGGTGAAGAGCAAAAAGATCCTCTAATTATATTTTGTTTTGATGATGACGAAACTCTACACTGTGATGTGCAGTGAGTGTAACATAAAATAATTTGTCTTGTAATATATATGGTTAATTTGTAATTTTTTTAATTTATTGACTGGGAAGTACTTTACGTGAATAATCAACTTTTTTTTTTTCACTTACTCTGATCAATGAAACTTCCCTTAGAAAGAAGTTTGTAATGTACAGAATTGAGAGCATTCAGAATAAAGGCCAACAGTGAATATTAATTTGAGAGTAGGGGTGTAAACGAGCCGAGCCTACTCGTGAGTTCGAAGAGCCGGCTCGTAAAAAGCTCGAACTCGGACTTGAGATTTTCGAGCTCGAGCTCGAGCTCGAGCTCGCGAGCTCGAGCTTTCTGACGAGCCGAGCTCGAGCCGGTTTTCAGTTGTTCATGAGCTCGCGAGCCGGATTTATTATTATTTTTTATTTTATTTTTTATTTTTTATATGTTATTTTTATTTAAATAATGTATAATAATGTAAAATATTATAGAAATAAATACAAATATTAAAAATATATATAATTACAATTTAGTTTTTATTTTTTATTTTTTTAAATAATTTTTAATAATAAAATAATAATTAAAAAAATATTAAAAAAAAAAAAAAAAGACAATGGGCTCGAGCTCGACAAAATTGACACGAGCTCGAGCTCGAGCCAAAAAAAGAGGAGCTCGACGAGCTCGAGCTCGACAAAATTAACTCGAGCTCGAGCTCGAGCCAGCCAAAAGAGGCGAGCTCGGCTCGTTTACACCCCTATTTGAGAGTGCATATTAAATTGAGAGGGTGTTTGGCTAAGCTTATAAGACTCTTAAAAGGAGTTTATAAGATGTTTAAGAGCTTATAAGCTCTTTCAAAGTGTTTGTTAATTTTTTTAAAGGGATCTTAATAAATAAAATAAAAAATAAAATAAAAATACCTCTATCCCATATTTTTATTTAAAATTTTATAATGAGTAAAACTAACTTATAAGTTTATTATTCAAACACATTAAAAATTAATTATAACAAGACGTAACCGCTATAAGCTATTAAAACAACTTATCATACTTAAGAGTTTATCGGCTGTTCAAAGCCAAACGGGCTCGGAGTATATTGATTTTTAGCCAAAAAAATTCTCAGTATGGAGTAGAAATAATTAGGACAGTTGCCAAACATAAAATCTTCTGTTTCTGCCTGAAATAACTGGCAGTTTCTATTCCTAGGTTATTCAATCAATTCCCTCTTGTACATCACTTTTACCTTTTACTCCATCACTGCATTTATACCCCACCAATACCATACAGATTGAAAGTTAGGTAAAAGAAGACTGGTAAATATGAACATTAATTCAAATAAATAAATAAATAAAAATTTCCAACAGTAATATCCACAATGCTCCTTTCGATTCGTACATACGAGTAATATTCGCGATGCTAGGTGTTCTCGGTTTGAAACCAAAACATCTCTAAAAGAATTTCTTCTCTTCGAGTTTTACGAGATGGACTTCGTTTTAATCCATGTTGGAGCCATGGTTTCTACTCTTCTCTTCTTAGCCTTGCTCTGCAATCTATGGAGGAAACATCCTCGCACTAAATCGAACAATGTCAAGAAAACCTCTTCTCCACCTCAACCAATAGGTGCGTGGCCTATTGTAGGCCACCTTCATCTTCTAAATTGCCAAAACCACATAGCTCAAGCTCTAGCGGCACTTGCCGATAAATACGGGCCCACCTTCACTCTCCAGCTCGGCATGCAAAGAGCGGTTTTCGTGAGCAGTCACGAAGCTATCAAAGAATGGTTCACGGTCAAAGATAAGTTGTTCGCACATAGACCGAAATCTAGTGCAGGAGAACACCTAGTTTATAATAATAATTATAATAATCATGAAGCAGACTTTGGTTTCAAAGATGGTCCGTATTGGAGTGAAATGAGAAAGCTCCTTTCTTTAGAAGCTATCTCAAAACACTCGAACAAAATCGGAGTTTATGACGTTATTAACACAAGCATCGGAAGATTGTACTTTGGAGCAAAAAGTGCGAGGCCGGTTAAAGTAATAATCAGGCATTGGGTTGAAGAAATGACTTCAGACATAGTTGTGAGGTTGATTGTTGGAAAAAGATACGAAATTGGAGATCGAGCAAGTGAAGAAGAGAGTTTCAGAAGATTAATCAGAGAAGTTGCTGAGTTATCGGGGCAATTTGTGCCGTCTGATGTGATCCCGATTCCGCTTTTGAGATGGATGGATTTCGGAGGGAAGATCAAGGACATGAAACGAGTGTCGAAAGAACTGGAATGCTTAATCGAGGACTGGATCGACGGTCACGATTTCTTCGAGAAAAGACTCACGAGAGGTGAAGGTACAGATGATTGGTGCTTCTTAGATGTGATGCTTTCCTCAGTCGATGACAGGTTCAAGTTTATTGCACCACAGGAAACTATCATCAAAACCTTTGTAGTGGTAATCACTTCTCCTCACCCTATTAATTCAGCATCTTTCTTAGGTATATAAAACATCACACACACACACACACACACACACACACACACACACACACACACACACACACACATATATATGTATGTATAATAGAGTATGATGTCTCTGGTTCAATCATGCATGCAGAATGTCATACTAGGATTGGACACAACATCTGTGTACCTGACAAGGTTGTTGTCAGCGGTTATAAGCAACAAGGAAGTAATGAAACTAGCACAAGAAGAGATAGACATGAAAGTAGGCAAGCAAAGATGGGTGCAAGAATCTGACCTGAACGACTTACCTTACCTCTACGCGGTCATCAAAGAAACTCTGCGCCTCTATCCGCCTCTCCCCTTAACCTTACCGCACGAGGCGTCGGAAAACTGCCAGCTCAGCGGCTATCTCATCCCCAAAGGCACTCAGCTGTTTGTAAACCTGTGGAAGCTTCACCGGGACCCACAGTTCTGGCCGGAGCCCGAAAAGTTTATGCCGGAGAGATTCTTGAAAGGCCATAACGAAGATGGTGTGGATTTCATCCCGTTTGGCTGTGGAAGGAGATCGTGCCCTGGAGCCACATTCGCTTTGCGAGTGGTTGGATTTGCAATGGCTCGATTGCTTCATGGTTTCGATTTCGCTGCACCTGTGTGTATGGATGAAGGACTGTTTGACATTACCACGGCAAAGGCAAATCCAGTCGAAATGATGGTCAATCCGCGGTTATCTTCACAGCTGTATGAGCAGTTGTGAAATTTTCACCAAAAAAACCTGCAAACGGAGAGTGGTATCTTTTCTCTTTTCCGAGAAATTTAAGGCGTAAATCAGATAGTAACCTGGGAGAATAATTCAACACAAAAACTGTAAGCTACTATTTGAAAAACTTCGTGTTCCTTCTCAATGCTCAAACAACTTAGCAATTATATACACAAAAAATCATGTCTACTATACAGTATATTTAAACAAGGGACAATTGAAGTATGGCCTCAGTCTCTTGATCGTAAAACCAGTATTCTTCTATATCTACGGTTGACAATCATGATCAGCACGCAGACTAATCTCTCATGTCAATTCAAAAAAGAAATAAAATAAGTTTCTCAACATCTTAAAAAGACGGCATCGGGAGAAAAAGATAAAGAAAATTGTCTCCTCTTGGTGTAAAGGACAGCGGCATCACGAACCAAGCTAATTTTGGAATTTGTTTGTACATAATACTATCTATTTGCATTCTTCATGAGAGCAAGGAGCTCGACATCATCAATATCTGATTCTGAAAGGAGCTGATAAGGAGTTCTACCTTCCTTGTCAACGGCTTCTGGATTGGCCCCCCTGTATAAATTATAACAATTAGTGCAAGAAACTGAATAATACACTGAGATATTGTCTTAGCCAAGGAATAGACATATAAATCCCGGAATTTTAAGTCTCTTATTTGAACCAAAACACTTGCCTAGATTTCTCGATTTCTTTTAAAAGCTCGTTTGAGCTTGATTCATTGACATTACGACTAACCAGACAACCTTGAACACATATAATCGTTCGATAAGCTATGAAGCTTGGTTCAAGCTCGATCAGAAAAAATAATAATAAAATATGTCTAAAATATCAAGCTACTAGAGCTCGATTCGTGTTCGGCTCGATTAAAGCTCATTCGAGCTCAACTTGAATGCTTATCGAACCAAGCTCGACAAAAACTCAAACAAGCTTGAACAACCATGCCTAAGGCTCTACTCGATTCATTTTCCCCCCTACATATACTACATCAAATTTAGCAGAATAGTCTGAGAAGCAAACTTTTTGTTATTAACAAATACAGGACACTGCATGATTTTGATGGAAAAGCAAGAGAGAAGGATATAAAGAGCCAGTCAAAGTTTTGTCAACATATTACCTGAGTAGCAACAGTTTAGCAATTCCGATTCTACCCCTCATAACGCAATGATGCAGCGGTGTATGACCCCCTGAATCACAAGTGTTCACGTTTGCCCCATGCTGAAGGAGAAGCTCCACCATGCCAATATCAGCAGTTTGAGAGGCGAGGTGAAGTAAGGAACATCCATCAAAAAGCTTATCAACAAGTGGATTCTCATTTTCTTCTTGTAGGTCCAAGGATTTTGAAGTAGTTTCTTCTACATCATGAAAGGTCTCTTCAGAATTTTCTTGTTCATGCAATCTCATAACATTGGCTAAAGATAAGGATGTAACAGGCGAAGATTGACCCCGGACTGCATTAACATCTGCTTCCCACGTGACGATAAGGCGGTACACGGATTTCTTGTCATTTACACGAACACTTTCCCATAACTGTTCAGCAACTGAAAGGAAATGCTGGCTATCCTTTAATTTGTGAAGAAAGCGTTTTTCTACATACTGCAGTAGAAAGAACATTACCTTAGTTACATATAAACGTGAGAAGACAAATCATAAATATGTTCAGGTGGAATATAAGAATCACGTGGAATACTATATTGATATCCGTAAAGAATTATAAATATATAGCCAGTCACACCTATCTCTAATCACTTGTGCATCAATATTCCCAATTCTGGAAAGAGTTGTAAACTGTGGGAAAAATAAACTAAAGAATCATTTATTGAGCAATACCTTTGCTTGAATGAACTTCTCCTTTACTGATATATGATTACTGTGATGTGGTTTGGTTAAAAACTGTTTGTATTTATCAGATTCGAATGACCTACGAGATAAAAGTTATATTTGTCATAAACACATTATTAAATATGAAAGTGCAGTACAGTAATCTTGATTGCTGTAATCTCTACCGCATTGGTATTTCATCTGCCTGAACAGTTCTACTTGATCGTAACAACCCTTCCCATATTGAGTTGACAAAGACATTACCCAGTGCCTGAAACAAAGTAATGACGGAAGGTTCCCACACTTTCACATCAAGTGTTAAGGATCTTACCTGCATTGAGAGTTAACACGCAAAAGCTTTGAGATCAGAATCCAGTAAATCTAATATCACAGACTTATACAAATATTTCATTAGATAGTTCCAACTATACAAGCATAAAATCAATAGCCTGGAACGACTATAGGACAGAAATGGAACCAATACTTGATCATATCAACAAAATCAGGAGCAACTAGGAAACTTGTAAGGACTTGCCTTGGATATATGCACGCCAAGATTACGATGAACGCCAGAGCATTCAATACATATAAGAATACCAAGATTCAAGGAAGCCCAATCTGGTTCGGGAGCGCCACAGTCAGCACATTTATCATTTCCGGGTAACTTCCTCAGAGCATCAATTGGCTTCTCATTTTTCAAGCTGCAGTGAATTTGTAGGGAACTTCTGGTTGATCGGATTATATTTCTAGTCGAATGATCTTTCTCTGATGTGTATTCATGAATGGTCTTGAGATCATGATCAGGACTTCCAAAGGAACTACTTTCACTAACCGGACTAAAACAGAACTGCCAATATACAAATGAATCATGATAATAAACAATGAGAGGGAAAAAGAAACAATAAAATTTTTATGAATCCAACATATTTCTCATGTTTACCCTCTCAGGTGCTTGTGAACTCAGCAAAGAAGTAATAACTCCTGTTATTTTTTCAATCCAGTCCATCTGGTCTGTTGCATTCTCCGCCTACATCAGTACAAAATATTTGAAGTATGTCAATACAGATTGCACTGCTGCTAAGAAGAAGTCAATATTCTAGACATCTGATGCACAGAAATTTTACCTGTAAAGTGTAGTTTTTTGTAGGTGAAATAATTCGGAAACAAAATCTCAGATCAGACTGCTCTGCATCAACTTTTATGGTGGATGTAAGCAGGTTAACTGTGTGACGTGCAACAGATTTTTCATCGTGCACGCCACCATGGTAATGAGATGAAAGCCAGCGACTCAACAATCCAGAACCTGGTTCGGAAGGAGTATTTCTGTGTATGGGCATCTGGCTGCTACTTCCATGGAACTGAGAGCCCAATGATTCAGTTAGTAAACAAGGTCATATGAAAGAAAAGGCATTTATTTAGCCTACAGTAAATGTGGCAATCAATTTGTTTCTTTTGCGTGACTTACAGTTGGCCTGCTCCATTGTTTGCGATAATAGTAAAGCATTCCCCGGCTATCAAGAACAAAAAATCTTCTCTTCCAGTCACCTCTCAAATTGGACGAACGTTTAGAGAGATATCCTTGTTTAATGGTTTGCACCTAAACTATTGAAGTCTTATTTACAGTCCAAATAAACCTAAGAGTTATAATGCCTGAGAGTATGTATGAAACGTAAATCAAACGTAATGTACCTTTCCCTCGGCAGCAGAATGCATCACTGCCTCTATCAATTTATGAGAACTTCTGGGGTAAGATTGTATGGCATCACCATTTGTGGAACTCTGCGGTCCATTGAAAGAGCGCCGGCTCTCTTGATCAACCTGCCTCATGTACTCTTGCATCCGTTCATTGAGAGATGATTGCTCATAGTTCGAATTTTGTCTTGCTTGTTGAGCATAAGCCAAGACCTATGGTAGATCAGAACAGATTAAAGATGTATCTATATATTTTGAGTCAAAACAAGATCATCTCATTTATTAATTTACTTTGAGTAATATTAATCTATCCTACCTAGTACATACCTTTAAAAGTATGAATTCTTAACTTGATATCTAATATACCCCCTTATCAAACTGTTTGCAATATAGCTCGTTATGCTAATTTTAATCAATTAAATTAATAAACAGTATATAAATAATTCACTAAAATCACATTAATCATGTTGCAAAGGCAAGCATCACTTGTATTCATGAAGTAAACATATATGTATTATAAACATGAAGGTATTTCTTCAACGAATTATGGTGCAACTCAAAGTAAACTACAATACAAAAAACTAACCTGGTTAATATATGGTTCCATTTGATGCAATAGCTCGTATCCCTGTCATAATGACGAACTTCAAAATCACCATATAAACAGCAATAGTAAACGTGATAAAATGCGAGATCGAACAACAGACCTGTTTGAAATACCGAAGATGAGCATTCATTGTGTTGCCAACAGCTTCTAAAAACTCGAACCTCTTCTTTGCTTCAACAGCAGAGAGAGCGCTGACCTAAAATATCAAACATGTCCAAGTATAAAACAGATTGTCTTTTCCCTAAACAATACCTTAAACTTTTTATTATGTTATAAGATAATTTGAACCCAATGGATATAAAGAGATCGACAAACCAGATTGAAGCGTGTTTGCTCAAAAGTTGATCTTGCATTGTAAAGTTCCTGGAACGTCTCTCTACCAAATTAGAGTTCAATAATTGATGGTTACCCATAACAACTACATGAATAGCCAGAGCAGATTGAGATAAGTATATTCGATTTATGAAGTAAAAGTGGTTATATACCTCCTCGAGGGCACTAGCTATGTCCATTCTTGCACTTTTCCTCAACGATAGAAACTTCTCACGAACCTGGAATGTGTTGATGTGGACGTGTGTTATTATCAATAAGCGCATTTTGTCGCACTTGATTAATTATTTCTTTTGAAAGATGGAAACATGCTTGAATGCATGCAGTTATTTACTTTAAGGCAAGAATATGCATATGAATATCTCTTGCAATAACTGCTATTAAGAAAAACAAAATATGGCCTTTTCGTCTAAAGATCAATTCCAGTGATGCATGCTTTTGCAAATATTATAATTATGACATCAATATTTGAGGGTAGTTCATTCTGAAATTTCTACAGCAGAAGATTGCTCCAATACACTTTCTCTTACTCTATATATCTTAGTTATTCATCACTTCGTCAATATATAACCCGTACCTGGTCATAAATAACACTGGCTTTATCAAAGCGCTTTCGGGCTTCCTGCATGTTATGAAAAATTGAAAAACGTGAGATACGAAGTCCTTTAACATAGAAAGAAGTGGAAACAAAGCAAAACTGGATGAAATTGCGTAAAATAGAGCATGTTGTTAAATGTGAACTAGTAAATATTTGCTTATTTGTCAACAAGTGCTGTGAAAATGTTAAACACTTATTCATTAACACTACACTAAAAACATGGCCATCGAACATAAAGGCCATCGGAAATACCTTGACATCTTGAAGATCAACATTAGCAAAGTGTACAAGTTTGTCATTCAGCATGTGCTCCACCTAAGGGAAATTAAATACAAGAGAAGAATGTCAGTATAAAGAAGCAATTAATGATGTACAATTTTCATGTTAACAGAGTTCAAATCATTTCAAAATGGTTTCAGAAGAAACATAAACAGAGGCTCTATGGTTTCAAGCAACTATTTTTATATGAAGGCCCCATAACTTAATAATGTGCAATGTTTATTATTTTTTTTATTTCAGTTAATTAGAATTGAGATACACCACAATGATTGAAAAATTTAGTTCGGAATGGGTTTGAAAGATTTAAATCCATTGTAACTTTAAACTATCCCAACAAGTTTAATAGATTTGTTATTATGCATTTCAAATTCTTAATACCAAATCCTTCAATCCAAAAGCAACCCATGTATTACACTAATGAAACACATAATATATTTCTAAAAATAGTGTTAAATAAAAGAATAAATGATCAAGCTATTATGCATTACTGGATGAAACGGTATGAGCATTATACTGACAGAGAGCAAAGTTTCAACCTGTGTCCGGAGAACCTCCTTGTGAGTTCCACTTTCTCTCAGTGCAATTGCAAATTTGGCCATATCAGGACCTAAAGACAAAAGCAAATTTAATAAGCATCTACAACAAAAAACTTACTTTAACAATTCAAAATTAAGAGTCTTGTAGGATAACCACTTCTGTTTATTTTTATTTCCCGGTCCAAATACAGGTGGCAGGTAACTTCTTTCTTAGCTTATGATTGTAAAGTTAGGATCTTGAAGACTTGAACAATGTTACAGATATAGGATCATTTATCAATTATCATTTATACCTCCAAATGCTACAGATATAGGATCATGATGCCCTCCTGCAAAAGTCTCGAGAGCAGTTGCAAAAGCAATGTCTCTATCATATGCTTCTCCAAGCCCATCACTGTGAATCCAAACCAAATAAAAAAGAGTGTTACAGGCAAGGCTTGCAGAGAAGCAGCTGCTGTTAAAATACTTACATCATTAACGTTTAAGTAACAATTCGGAATTCCAAGAAAATTTAGTGTTTAAAAATAGCTTCATATCTCATTGGGATAAAATATAAAAGCAAGGAGAATAAAGTTGTGAATTAATAAACCACTTCTTGGTAGTCAGCAAAAATTCACGGCTAAGCAACAGTTATTATGTTAACTAGTTGTTTTACTTATATACTGTCAATGAGACAGACAAAGAATTTAAATGAGAACCAGAATAGACAAATATGAAACTATATAACAGAGAATAATCGGATCCTTAATAGCTACAACCTCTAAATTTGCAGAGTGCAGTTAAATAGCCGAAGACATAAAACTGACGAAGAGATGAAAATGATCATGGACTTATTTTAAAAACATGGATTTATTTTAAAAACTAAAAGTCTGTTGTACATTCGTAACTACAAAAACTAACAAAAGAACACTCATGATACATTAAGATTTTATTGAATAAATTTGATATCTAGATATTGAAATAAATATATATGATGCATTAAATAAATCATGGCGTAGGACTTACATGTACTTCCGACATCCTTTATTAAACTTAAGACTTCTGTCTCTTAATGTCTCGGCAGTTTCTTCCATCAACTGGATCTGTTTTGTCAGCCAATATAATGCGCGTTAATCAAGTTGACATTAATTATAAGTGTGATTTGCTTGTACCGAGTTTGGAGATTTCCATGACAAAATATAAGAGGTTTCTCCCTCAAAAAGGGTGAGAATACAGAAACACGCCATTATAATTACGTGATTACTCACATCTCATGTCAGAGATGCTTTCACTTGTACTTCATTCTAACTTTAACTTCTATTTTGAATACAGAAACACACCATTCAATTCTAACTTTAAATTCTATATTCTATATTTCAATTTTTTTTTTGTTCCTTCTCCAACCAATTAATAACCCCCTCCATAGGCGCTCTCACATCACCTACCACCCCTTCCTCTTCAATTATAGGCTAACTGCAGATAAGTATCAAACATCCCCAATTTACTCGTGTCTCATGAACATAACGTCATATACCTCCAATATGCTAAACTATTTTTTTCACAGAAAGGACATACATCTCATCTTCATTCATTTTAGTGATAACGATGACATAGTTTCAATTATAATGTGAGGCATGCTTCAACGTTTGACACTAAGCTCCTAATTTCTATTAGTTCGTAAAATCCCATGAAGCTCTATGCCTACTCAAAATAATAATAAGAAAAATAGTGCTTCTCGAGCATCTTATATTTTCCCCTCTCTTCTTAGTTCTTAGTCTGTGATCATGGTGCTTCCAGAAAATAAATCTCAGTATAAGTATTGCCATTTTTCGGTTAAATCCAAAAATTCAGAAAGACTTCTGGGAATTGCTATATGACATTTTTCAGTTCAAATATATCCAGTACATTGTAATTAGTAACTATTGAGTGTTCAAAATTCTTTCATTATGGATATTTTCTCTGATCATAACTCTAATTACAAGGTTTCCAGTTACACCTTCAAAACACAAAATTCCCCAGAATTGAAAAGTGAAATTATCAAATGACGAATACATCCAAATGCTGTTGAAACACATTGCCGATTTGCAAACTTCGTCGCAGCATTAAATAAAATAAATGAAAATTTAACGAACCTGTTGCCGAAACATCGGCGAATCATCTAGCCTTGTGAAATACATCTTTCCCTCCTGCTGCATATAATCCAAAAATTTCACACCCTTTTCATTTGATCACCGGATCTCATTCCCCCATTTCGAGTACCAAACAAACCCTTAATCTATAGAAATTAAAAAAACACATTATACATTAATTCCAGAACGAAAATCAGGAGAAAAAAAAATCGAGATCAAATAGATCAAAACTCCATGCAAAAATCTCTGAAGTCAAAATTGTATGGGGGAAAATGTAGCACGAATAAGATAAATTGGGGAAAAATAGAGAGAGAGAAAATTAAATAAATGAGTTGCTCGATGGAGCGAAAATGGAGGAAGAATGGAGAATGGGCGGATAGAGGACCAGAGTATGCGGTATTTCATGGCTGTCACAAAAAAACAAAACAAAATATAGTCTTTATTTTTGTGTGCGACGTCGTTTTGTCGATTACAATTACAAATCTACATTATTTATTTTTTTTATTTTTTTAATCATATGGTCTTATTCAGAGAAAAATGCGCGCCAATCTCTTGTGGTGCCAAGCTCGTGCCACGATTCATGATTTAAATAATATTATTGGGTAAATTACCGGGGTCATCCCTGAGGTATGGTGAAATTACGAATAAACCCCTTCTATTTGAGTAATTACAATCACACCCTCAACTATGAGTCTTCTTGCACGTACACTCTTATGGTGTCAAATTCAACACAATCTTTTAGATTCAGTGGAATATTCTCTAGTTTGTGCTCGTTTTGTGCAAAAATACAGTTTTTGATGCACCACAATCTGATATTTACAAGTCAAGAGACACATCTTATGATCATCAAATGTGGAACTCGAATGGGGTAAAACGGGTACAAATTGAAGAATATTCCATATAATATAGAAAATTCCACTAAATTTGACACCGCAAGAGTGGAGGTGTATGACGATTCATAGTTGAGGGCTGGTTGTAATTTACCAAACAAGAAGGGTTTTTTTTTTTTTTTTTTTTAAATTGACCATAACTCAAGGGTGGACATAATTCACTATAATATTATTTGATAAATCAGCTCGCACGAATTCGTGTTTGTTTAATTTTTTTGAAAATATAATAAAAATAACATCCCAAAATCATTCCAAACATTGCCTATAGTGTTTTGTAAATGCAACCTTTACTCCTCTATGTTAAGATAAACTATAAGTTAACTATTTGAAATTCAATTTTAATCAATTTTAATGCAATTTGCAAACACCATTAATTTTTAAAAATAAATAAATTATTATTTTCAATTTTACTTGCAATCACCAATTTTTACTTTTAAATATTTTTTTGCATAAAAAATCAATTTTGGACGGGGAAACTACAGATAAATCCCTAATCCAAAACTTCAATCACAGATCAGTCCCTAGGTAGTTTCCCCTAGCATTTCAGTCCCTACTCACGCGCCTAACATGCAGATCAGTCCCTAATAAAATGTGCAAATACGAAAATACCCTTTACTTTATACTAATTTTATATAACTTCTTTTCAACTTCCCACGCGCCGTTTGTATTACACGCTCTTTGCCCGTTACATTTCAAAAATCAAACAACAAAAAAGAAGCTAAAAAGGCGCAGAAAAAACCACCGTTCAGTAATACCCATTTTCAGACCAAGAAGAAACGAAGAAGAAACGAAGAAGAAACGCAACAGAGAAACAACAAAGAAGGAAGAAATTACGAAACACGAAGAATCAACAAACCGCAGAAAAATAGTATAAACAAACCCATTTATAAACAATGGTGAAGCAGGGTAAACAACAAGGTTTGATTTTTTATTTTTTTTCATTTTCTTGGAAACAGACCCATTTGGGTGTTGCTTAAGCAGGGCAAAAAGGTTTATTTGTTATAGAATTGCATGATTTTGAACATATCCACTCATGGGTATTATGCCTCGACTTTATTCGGTGTTTGCCCTAATCATTAAATCGGTTCCAATATTTGTTGTTCTGTTGTTTGGGTTTGCAAAGATCATTTATTTGTTGTCGAATTTCATGATTTTGTAACAGTTTTCTCATGGGTATTATTCTTCGGTGACATTAGCATGTCCCCAAAGCATTTTGAGTCCTAACAAGGGTTTCATATAGGATATGGGAAAGAGGCTTATTGTATTTTTCGTACTGGTTCTATAGTATGTGTCATGCGCAGTAATGGTATTAATAGTGCATTTAGATGGTATAATCTTTGATGGTTCTGTAGCATGTGTCATATGCCACAATAGTATTACCAGTGACTTTGAATGGTATTACTAGTGACTTCGGATGGTATTGACATGTGGTACTAGAAGTATAATGTTGATGGTCCTGTAGGATAAGTCATATGCCATAATAGTATTACTAGTGCCTTTGAATGGTATTACTTGTGACTTCGGATGGTATTGACTTGTGGTACTAGAAGTATAATGTTTGATGGTCCTGTAGTATAAGTCATATGCCATAATAGTATTACCAGTGCCTTTGAATGGTATTACTAGTGATTTCGGATGGTATTGACATGTGGAACTTTATAGTACGTTGTATTTGTTATAATTGTATTTGTTTTATGTGTATGTAATTGCAGGAATTGTTGTAAAAGAAGATTGCAGCAAGCTATCAATAGGCTGCAGGTGCTCACCGATCGCTTTTCACCTAACTATGGAAGGTGTGAAAAAAGTGATGAAGAAACAACATCATGAAGTACTGAAGAAAAATCCCTTCTATCACTACATGGACATGCCTAAAATAAACCACAGCTTCCATAGGGTTGTGTCTCTCATGCAAGCGTACAATCCAGAAGATCGGGCCTTCTGGTTTGGGGGAAATACTATACGCTTGGAATTCACTCCGCAGCAATTATCTATCGTATTAGGGCTGCAGTACGAAGGCGTACCGGTGGATGTGAATATGGATGGTAGAGACACTGATTTCATCACACGTATTTTTGATGGTAAGTTATCTTTAGTGACGAGGCCATATATTGGTTATAAACTGGAGGCCTATGCAGTTATGACCGATCAACAATCTGTTGAAGATTTCAGCAGATTGTACACTATTTATCTGTTAAATACTATTCTACTGCCAAAGGGGAACAAAACGTTAGAAAGGTGGGTTTATCCGCATGTAGAAGATTTGGAGGTTTTAGGGTCTTTTGCATGGGGAAAGTTGGTGTATGATATTCTTGTTGAGAATATGGAGGGGTATCTGAAGGGGGGGTTGAAGTATTTTGATGGATGCACTATCGGCTTATTGGTAAGTGATATCTAATAGTGAATATATATTATGTTATATTGAATATACCAATTAATATTGATTCCAAAATACGCAGGCATGGGTGCATGAAAGGATCACGTCACTAGGGGTTAGCACCAGTGTTTACAAATTTCCCCGGTTCTTCCGGTGGCAAGACAGCAAAATCCCAATCGATGAAGAAGCAGCTAGGTTGCTTTTTGATCAGATAAAACAAGTGCAGGTAACACTTTGAGTTACAAAATATATAATGTATTAGGTATTTGCTAACAAATTTTTTACGTTTATTAGGTTATACCATTTTCTGTGTACCCGAAAGAGAAAGCGTTGCTTTCTCCGGTTTTGGAAGTAATTTCTGGTCCAGTTGTTGGAATTAGTGCTGACAGATTTGTGGAAATAAGTTCTGAGAGTAGTGAAGATGAGATTGGAGACGTGGAAGCAACATCTGTAAGTCATTAATACAATAAACCCTAAAATTCATACTTCCATTCCCATTGGAACATACTATATGTCAACTAATATAATACTATGGTATAACATGTTTCGTACTATTGTTTTTTTTAGTTGCAGCAGATGATGAATAACTTAAAAAGGAAGAGGGGGAATGTAACAGAAGAAAAAAATAAAGAAAAAAAAATGCAGAGTAAGAGAAAGAAAGAAAAGGAGATAGAGAAAGAGAAGGAGATAGAGATAGAGAAAGAGCAGGAGAAAGAGAAGGAGAAAGAGAAAGAGACAGAGACAGAAAAAGAGAGAGAGACGGAGACAGAGAAAGAGATAGAGATAGAGGCAGAGATAGAGGAAAGGGAAAAGGAAGGAGAAAATGAAGGAGGAAAGGGGATGGAAGGTGAAGGAGAACGAAGTGAAGAAAAAGAGAGAAATCAAGGAGACGAAAGTCAAAGTCAAAGTCAAAGGCCAAAGTCAAAGGCCAAAGTTCCACGCGTGCGAGGACGAGGACGAGGACGTGGTCGTAAACAAGTTCCTGTGTCCAAGGTTCCGGTTTCAGTCCCTGTTTCAGTCCCTGGGATCAAGGTATTTTTATCTAATATTAGTTTTACATTATTATTATTTTTTGTCATAATTGGTGTGATTTATTCGTTATATAGAATGCCGATTATTACCGGGGAAGAAAGGACTACGTACGTCGTGACCAAATATCCGAAGAAGATAGGATATTGTTGGATCAGTTCTTGGAAAGTGTTGATTTAGGGTAAGAGCACAACCACCTTCATATATGGTATATGTCAAGTGAATACATAGTACATGTTGACTGCATGTTATAGTATGTAGTAACTTTGTACATAGTATAAGTTTACTTATCCAATGGTACATGTTGACTGCATGTTATAGTATGTATTAACTTTGTACATAGTACAAGTTTACTTATCCAATAGTATATGTTGACCACATGTTATAGTATGTATTAACTTTGTACATAGTACAAGTTTACTTATCCAATAGTACGTGGTTATGTCTTACTGTAGTGAAATTATTGTGGAGAGAGGCCCACATCAGCTGACGGGAAGGCATATGTGCGAACTTTTATTTGATGAAATGCTGAGTGCAGAACACATAGATTTGTACTTGAATCTATTATGTTCCGAAGCTATCATGAACCAGCATGGACATGAGATTGATTACCTTGACTCCCCTGCCCAGGTATATAGTGGTTTAACAAATAATTTTGCATACATTACAATGTTTATCTAATATTCTCTATTATGTTTCGTAGCAAGAGTTAATGTCGCGACCTCGGGTGGACGTAGAACGAATGAGCGATGCCATGTTTGATCGTCTTCTCAATGATTTTACTATTTTTGGAACGATGGCTTTTGACAAGCTAAACACAGCAAATATCTTCAGTAAAACATTTGTCATGATACCTATCAATTCCAGTGAACACTGGTTCCTGCTTGTTCTGAACCCAATAGATAAATGTATTTACCATTGGAACTCCATAGACTATTCTCCGAATTTCCCAGGAATTGCGGATTATGTCGTAAGCCCATATTCTTGTAATTAGTTATTCTTTATTCTTGCGAATTGTTGTAGACTAATATAATATTTTATTTTCGTAGGCCTCGTTTTACAGCAAGGTGGTTGAAAGAAGGTCTGGGTTGGAGATACAATCGGAAGCTAAATGGGTTCATGGATGCAGGCAGCAGGATGGGAACCTTGATTGCGGCTTGTTTGTCTGCATGTGGGCATATTGTCATGCTGTAAACAGTGAAGAAATTTGGTTTAAGGCAAAAACTTGCGATATCAAAATACTTCGCCCAAAACTAGCAGCTATCTTTCTGAGGCATCGGGGAGTAGAAGTGGAAGCTAAATATGAAATAGATATGGCGTTATTGTGAAAAAACT